CAGGCGCTAACTTAACTAAAAGATGGACTTATAAAAGAGCTGGTTATAAAGCTACAAAATGATTACGTAGAAATAACTCATTAGCACTGATAAAATGTCAAGCTGTAGTTGAAGATATGGAAAAAAAAAATCAGCAATAGTCTTGCAGCCAAGTAATTGGTAGAGCTCTTGGCTTAATTTATTACATATTAAAATTTTAATCTTTTTATGTATTAAAATATTTTAAGACTAAATTATGACCAGCAAATACTTAACTTGTAAATATAATCTGTAACAATTTTCTGACATCATTCTTTCAGAAAAAAATCTGACTTGTATTGCAGTAAGGTTTGGGGATCAGATCAGGTTCTGGACAACACAAGGACAGCCTTCTCCAAATCTAATTATTAATGGCATTATTGAATTCAACCAGATGTTTCACATGGATAAAATTAAGTACACGAATAAATCAAGATCCAAGCGCACGCTTAGATTTGACAGAAGACAAGGAAAGGTGAAACAAAAAGTAATGAAGACAGTTAATGAAAAAGTATATATCCTTGGTTGTTAATATAACTTGAAATTGAAAATTCAAAGTGTAATAGGCCTGTTAAACGATCACTCTGCTGACAGACAAATGGGCGGGATATTTCTCACATCATATTGCCTACGAGTTTCTATCTGTCCAAGTTTTAGCCAGCCTGAGTAGTAAACCTTTTACGGCTTCCCAAAGGTAATTACATATGAGATAAATATACTCTCAGTGTACAAAATATAGCTAATGAGCTACACTTCTATTAACAATGTGAGGACTTCAACTATTATCCTAATGGATAATCCTTTTTGGAAATCATGTAAGTGAAAGGTAGTGTGCAGGATTTAAAATACAGTACACACTTGTCCCCTCACAGCTTTTAAAACTGCAAGATCATTTGCATCTAATCAGCTGCAAATCAGACACTAAACAAGAAAAAAAAAAATCTAGTATTTTAAGAAAAAGAGGAACACATTAATAAATGAAACTATTTCTAACCAGCAAAAAACCTTTTTAAAGGAACATTTTAGCCATAAGTAAGTTACTTCCACAAAAGAATTAAACCTCTGGAAACAGGAATTGCTATTTAAACACCAATCTCAGCCAATAATTAGAACTGTACTTCTATAATAATTCATCTAAACAGAGTCAAGAATTAATTTGAAGTGTCTCTGGTGTATTGCCGTTGGTGTCAGTTTACCTGGAAACACAGACTGAGATGATGGCTGGCTTTGGATAAAGGTGGTGTAGAGAAAAGTGTCGAGCATGCAGTATGCACTCCCTCTACTGGGCACTGAAATTATCCTATTCAGAGAAAGAAAGGGATATGTCCGAGCATCCAGGTACCGTGAAATAAAAGCCCTTTTACAGCTTCTGCCTTCTTTCCCCAGGTTCAGCTAAAACTCAGACTCACCGGAAAATGGATTTCAAAACTTCTGTTTATACTCTCCAAATACATTTCCTATCAGAAACGGACACCCGATTCACACCCCAAACAAGTGTTTAACTACAGGGAACACACCTTGTGCCAGCACACAAAAACTCATTTGCCTTTGACCAACACAGTAAGACTGTCATTTTTTGTCCATCCCCCACCTCTTTGAAAAAATAACAGCTCAGGAAGAAATGTCTTGATGACTTCTGATCTGCTGGGGGCACAGCAATGGCAAGAAGGAATGCGTGGTCTGGGCAGCTGGGATGTATTAACATTTATAAAATCTGCTGAAAGGGACTTGTTTCTAGACAGTCAAAGGATAACCTTTGCTCTTCTCTTCCCTCTCCTCCCACAGCTCCTGTGAGGTACGAGCAGAATTGTGCCATAGCCTACTTGTGTTCGCAGGGTTTAAGCGTTAGGTAAAAATGACGGCCCTCCTTATAATTGAGGCTTTCTGATGGTTTGAGTTCTTCACTATCACAGAGGAGAAAAGAAAGAGGTGGTCACATCTCATGTCACTATAAACCATTTTAAGTCCAAGTGTTTCACTGTATAAAGTTCTGTGCTTTTCTTCAAGTGACTTTGTGTAACCTACATAAAGTTCCCCTGTAGTTTGCAAAGCAGTGGGGCTTTTATATTTTTCAGTAAAGGCAAAAAAACTTCAGAGAAAATCTGTGCTAATTTTCTAACATGATCTGATTGCCTAAGGATGCTGCCTTGCCGACTAGTGCTCTGTGATCTGGAAAATGAAGCCAGAAACAATGGAAAGCATGGAGGTAATAGGGAGAACTGCCAGCAGCAGACACCTTCCTGCACCAGCCAAATGATTCTTCTGTGAAGGCAGGCCAGGTAAGCACCAACTTCTTCCTCTAAACGTAACTTACATCCAGCTACACTGCTGGTATATTCATATTGAGCTGTAGCATTAGGAATTACTCCAAATATATACGCCTTATTTGCATCTCAGCCATGTGCATGTATAACTGCTCAGCTAAACAAGAGTACCAATGACATGTGGCAATGGTAAGGGACTCCAGGACCTTCCCTCTTAAGTGGCAATTTAAATCTCTGCGGGATTGAGAGGTATAGTAGAGTTCATAGTGACAAATCTCCAGTTTCGGTGTCTCTCACTAAACCCTTCGCTTTATCAACTTTCTTGATCTCAATCTGAGGATGGGTAAAGCCTTTACTCTCCTCGTCCCCAGACAGAACAGAAACAAAGCACAGAATAGGACAGATGTAAAGGGGGGAAATTAAAGACCACAGAAGCACGGAGAACGAGCACAAAGAAAAACCAGAAGTCTGAGGAGAACGGGCAAGCCCAAGTCCCCAGCCGAGTTTCCAAGTCCCTATCATTCTGTTTTATACCCGCTGATAAAATAAAACCACTTTCTCTCTGAAGGTAAGGCTTGCCTATAGTGCAGGACCATAATTACACTTGAAATGAGCAAGTACACAAACAACTCACCTTTACATTCTCCAGCTAACAATATAGGTACCCCAGATTGCAGTCACTAGTTGCCAGGAAAACTGCTATCATATCCAAATGTAGAGATGTCACAGACCAACTACAAACCAGACAATTTACATGGGACCCTCTGCACTCAGACACCTTATTCACATTCTCTCTCTCTGATTACTAATTGCTCCCCTTCATTTCTAGGTGTGCTCATCTCTACACGAGCAGGTACAGCACTCACTGACTCCATGTGCTAACAAATAACATCCGTAACGCGCTGAGCTCTGTCGGGACAGGATGGCTGCGAGCCAGTGCTTTGAAGGACAAGCTGTCAGTACTTCTTCTCTGGGATCTAAAGATGCAGAAGATAGGAAAACTCTGGCATGGCAAGAACTATAGTTCCAATGACACAAGGATGTACAGACAGAAGCAACAACACATAACACAAGCAGCAATGCTGAATTAAAGAGGAGCTCTGTGTAGTGTTTCATATGCTGATATGTAAATATTTGACAGATGGGGATTTAATAATCATGGTCTAAGAGATGCTGTTTATTTTGTTCTATCAGACTCTTATTTTACCGTGTTTTTACATTTCAACCAAGTCATTTGACACACAAATAAAAGATAATTTATACAGTTTCCTTTTGCAGTACGAAGCTTTCTGTGTTCAGGTTATAAATTTAAAGTAACTCAGCACTAACACTAAATTTGGGTATTTTCCACTAGGGGAAAACCCTAGGAATAATTATATATTGTTTTCAATGCCTAAGTTAATACCTCAATCTGCATTGCTTCATTTTGAATGTATTCTTTGTGAGCACTGCTATGTATTTTCCTTTTTTTTTTTTTTTTTCTTCTAATGATGGAATTTATTAGCTTTCAAACCTTATATAGATAGCATTGATCAATCTCCAGAAGTGGTAACAATACCACTTTAAATACATACACATGCACGCACACACACATGAAAATCAAGGCTTGAATGTCCTTTATATCTTGCAAGAAATATAGCAACCAATATTCCATGCAGAGATGCAGCAAATGAAGTCCTGTCAAGCAAATGGCAGGAATGACAGCAGATGTCTGGATTCCTTCATAGCTGGTTGCATAAAGGTAGCACGCATATTTCACTGGAGAAAAAAACCTCTGACAAGACAGTCTTTCAGTACTTTTCATTCAGAGTTGGCATTTTTGACTGGTGTGGTACATCAGTAGGTATTAAGGTGATGAACCAGATTAATCTTGATAAAGCTTCATTTGCACAATGAAAGCAAAGTCTACAACACTCAGTCATGGCTAAATGAGGCTACCACAATTTAGTCCAAGGTATAACGTCCAGATCAAATTCTTACGATCTAGTCATAAACCAGACTTTACCCTGGACATTGACCCAAAACACTTATTTTCATGTCAAGCTATGCAATAATTTTGTTTGATCGCAACCAACAGAAATGACTATTATGCAGCTTTGCTTTTTAGCTACATAAACAAGCCATAGACTCCTTTTTGGATCTGAAAAAAGTATTTGATCTTTCAGCCTCTGTTTATTCACAAGTTTCACCTATTTCACAAAAACTGAAATATATTTTCACAGTTTAAAGCTTTACATAACAACTAATACTTTTAAGATATCCTCAATCACATTACATGCTCACTAGAGAGAGTAAATGCTCCAAAGCAGAAACGTGATTTTCCTGAATTGTGAGACGCTAGCATACTTTAGCAAGTGTAAAAGAACACAAGTAATACAGTGTTAACTGAGAAATATGCACGAAAGAAGCTGAGGACATAGTGTTACACATAAAGAAACTCAGAGTGAACAAAAACTGAACTTAACCACTTCCCTATCCTAAACAACAACAGCACTGCCTTACATGGTTTTGTCTAATAAGCATGCCCCTGGCATACTATACAGGTGTTCAGCACAGCTTCCTTGAGTGAAGCTACAACCAGCTGAATTAGTGTACTTTTCAATAAAACTTGTGTTGAAAAGTTTCCCAGATTAAGGCTTAAGAGAAAGTGCATTTTTTGTATACACGGTAAGCATTACTAATGGTCCCTGTAGTAAAACAGAATTTTAAGAAACTCACCACTTTTCTTTTTCTCGCTTTAAAGGAAATGTTCATTTCCTTGTATTTCTTCATAGCAGTCTCCAATTTATTCTTAAGATCAATGGCACATCTTAGCCGATCATCATTTATTCCTGCTCTGGTAAATAACTGCAAAGCAAGAAATCAACATTCTTATTCTTTTTTCCAGACACCTGAGCCAAAAAACATTTTCGGTTTTCCTTCATAATTGATGAAGCAACATTGTCACAAATTCCTTTATTTTACAAGTAACAATTAGCGAAGCCACTTCTTTTCCCATCTAGAATATAAAAGCTAATAGCAACTACTAAAGACAAAGAAAGAATGAACAGCTGGTATAAACACCTCCTGAGAGTGTCCTTCTATAGGCCAAATTCCATGCCTGAGGCTCCTGAGCAGTACTATCAACTGACAGAAAGGACATACTGTCTTTCTGATACAGGCATGTCTGACAACAACAAGCTGTGTTTTACTTTAAATCTTTGCAAAAAGAAGCTCCATTTTACTGTATCTTTAAAAAAAAAAAAAAGTATGACTGTAGGTAGCATACCTAATGCTGAGGGCCATCAAACAAGTTATGTAGCTCCTGTAGTCTCCTTTTGTCCACCCCTACTGAACTAGAGATCTTTTCTGTTTACGCCAGTGTTTCTTCAACCTTAATTTCCTTTTTGCTCACTCTCCCTCAAGATTTACTGTACCCCTTTCCTTCTTTTTACATATATATATATATATATTTAAAAAAAAAAAAAGGAAAAAAAATTGTCTCTTTATCCCACCTGAATCCAGGACTGCACAGAAGGCCAGAACTTATTTCTGAGGAGTTTGTGAGCATCCATGACATTGTTTATTATGGCAGTATTATCTTCATTCTCATGCACTTTTACATCTGCTCAAAACAGGGGGAAAAAAAGAGTTAGTGCGTGATGTTCATAGTATCTTTACTACAGGAGCTAAAGAAGCTAAGCAAAAGAAGTAGACATGAACCTTTCTAAAATATTTGATCACTTCAGGGAAAGTTACAAACATCAGAATGTTTCTCTGTTCAGCACTCATTATTCTACTGTTATCCACACATTCAAAAACATCAGAGGAAAAGCTTTCAGCCTAGTGATGACAGAAAGAGTTGTTAAGCCATCACTACTAAGGAATCACTAAGTAAACCACAGACAAGTGCAGTCTTACTATTTACATTACATCTTGTCCTAAGTTCCAAACAATGAACTGGGCCTTACTGCACCAGTTTCTCCATATTCAGTACCAAAAAAAATCCCTGCCGCAGCGGCAATAGGGACTTGATTGTCGAAGAAGCCAAGTACGCCACTACTCAAGTAAAAGTTGTACTTTTCACCTGTTAGTCATTCATAAGCCCCACAGATGCATTTCCAATTCTGTCGTCTGCAAGTATAGAAGTAGATACCTGCCTTACTGGCTGTTTGCACGTGAAATTCCACTAGCACAGTATTTGTAAAAGACTTCACTTAGACTACCAAAACACAAACCAGCCTAATTTTTCTAGAAGTAATTCATATTAGCAAAGTTATATAAAAAAAGCATAATCATAACCCTTAAGACTTCCTAGCAAAACTCTACTTATTACTTCTTGCAAGTTGTCAGTAGGAAGGAAAAAAAAGTTTATGAAACAGCCAACTGCAAAATTTTCAAATTAGCAGCTTATACCCTAGCTATAGAGAGAAAGAAAGAGATGAACCCTGAAGCACACGGAAAATAAAACTAGATAGTGTAAACAGATTATAATTTTTTTTTTAAACACAAGAAACTCATCTTATTCCAGGTACTATGAAGTGCTGCAATATGGTTACAACAACCAATACAAAAGTTCAATCTTATAAAGTAATTAATAAAATCTGTAAATCACATACAGGGACACCCAAACCTAAGAATGGTTACTAGATGAACCAGAAACAGAAAAGGACTCCAAAATAAATGCTGTTCAGGAACCCCAAGCATTTAAGACATAGGAAAAAAGAAAAACCCAGAACTACCAAGTACTTCAGACAAATACTGTCTCCAGCTATACGTAAAAAAATTTTCCAGGTACCTGTGGAGATTTCAAGGTCTAGAGTATACTTATGCGAAACAAGCCCATGGTTCCTAACAAAAGTCTGGTAATCATCATCACTGAGCGCAGGGACACCAGATTGAACTTCCAAGCATGCGTCTCCATCTAATTCTTTCTGCTCAGGCTTCTCCTCTTTCTCATCTAACTCTTTGTTTTGATCAGTTCTAACACACTGAGAAACAGAAAGAACGTCCTTGCTGCAGCATGGCTGTTCATCATCCATGCATCCAAAAGAGGACTGGTTCACTTCCATCTGGGAGGGCAAGGGGGATGCAGGTCTATCCTCATTAGCAGTCATTTGTCTGTTGGGTTCCAGTTCCACGTCATTCACAGTGAAGTCGAAAGGATCTGGCATCAGAAGCCGGAAACAGTTTTCCATCTCTGTCAGCGTGTCGGTAACCTCTTGGGACATTTCTGTCAAGAGAGAATTGTTTTAGAATATTGTTAAACACTGTAAAATACTAATGTCTCTGGAGCAGACACAGATTTACAAAACAAATATGACTGCCAAAGGGGTAATTCATTTATCCAGTAATCAGCGGTAATTTATCCATACAGATCTTTCTCTGCTGCAGAAACTGTCCTTGTAGAAGTGACAATACTTTTCTTAAGCACGAAATCTAGAATTTCCTGAGCAAGGAATTTAGAATCAGCGTTCCTCCTTTCCCTGTCTTCTCTAAAATTTCACTACGCAAAGATAACAAAGACGTCATCGAATTTGAAGGAGAACAAGGTTCAATTAGGATATTCTTAGTGATGTGGGTGGGTATTCATTCTACAGCCATGAACGTTGTAGTTGCTTGTAGGCGTAGCCATGAATATACGCTATTGCTCAAAAAGATGCTACCAATAAAAGTGACTTTAAGAAGGTTACATCTCTTTAAAATTCCACCCTCATGCATGAAACTGTTTCCAGCATGCAGAATAAACACAGACACAAATGCACGCATTGCATAAGCCAAAGTAATTTAATTAAATAACCCTTTGCAACTGAAACATAATATACTTACTATCTCTGTTCTTCTTTCGTATTACAGAAATATGTTTGCTATGTACATATTGCTTAGAGATTCAGCCCCCAGTTAAGACACATTTCTTAGCAGCAGTACGATACTTTCCATAGATATCCTACACTGCATCCAGGACTCCTGTGCTGACCACTGTCTATACTCCTGGAACACGATGACTCTATCTACAATCAAGGTCATCAGCCAACAAGGTATTGAGAAGTCTGTGCCTAGTCATAGACACAGAAATTAAGCCACTAGCTCCAAAAAGTCTCCCGATGTGCTTGCTTGAGGTTATGCATTCATACTTTATTGAATTACAGACCAGACCTTGCTCAATTTTTTTTTAAATCTCTTCACACTACCTGAGCTCACAGGACCATCACTTGTTTACCCTGGTATTCATTAGGTGAGAGAGACAGAGGCTCAAGCTCTAACAAATGTACTATTCCCGCCCTCTGTGGTCAGCTACTAATTGGGTAGCTATTCTCTTAGAATTTGTTTTACATAACCTTAAAAAAGATTGCTTTAAAAATGAACAAAAAACCCAAAACACCAAAAGAGCCAAAGCAACTCACCTTCCATTTCTTTCTCAGCTCTTTTGGCTTTTTCTTTGTAAATGTTATCCAATCGTTTTTGCTTCTCCTCTTCCCTCCTCCTTTCAGCCACGGTTCTGGCATGCACATCTTGAAAATCCACCTAAGGAGGAAATGAAGAAAAAAGTATAACATTCCTTGTAAGAAATATATAGAAAATCCATTTCCTAAGATCCTTATCTGTGGTGAAAAATCCTCCAACGTCAGTGATCAGCCAGAAGCTCAGCAGTACTTCCTTTTATCTCTTCTCCTCCGAGAATCAATAACTACAGTAATTCTGAATGGAGTTTTTACTTCTACTAATAAGGGACTGCTGAGAATCAGCGGCTTTCAGAAAGGAATCATAAGGTAGAAAACCAAAATGCTTAGATTTCCGCATCTAAATTGCAGGAATAAACTAGGCTTTGGGAGACCTCTGTCACAGCACTGGAGACGTGGGGTTAGGGAGGATGGACAGGAAGAGACTACACAGGGTAAGTACTCAAATTACTTGAAAATGTCACACTAGGTCCACTATTAGTAAAGGAAATTTAGGAAAATTTGTAAACACTATTACCACAAGTATACATATCACCTACTGAAGAACTTTGTAAGCAAGGAAAGTAGAAGAGAAGACAGTCAAATTCATTTAAAAAGACCAAATTTTGGATTTTACAATTACATTTGTTGGATCTGGGGATTGAGGGAAAGGTTATCATTCAGTCTCACTTTACTTTCCTATGACTAAAATATAAACATAAATCTGAGTGATTCAAAACACTGTTTCTTAAAATATTTCCAAGGTTGTTTTTTTTTTTTTAGTTTGTTCTTAGAAGGGCTTGAAAATGCAAATATTTTTCACTTCTATTTTAAGGAAAGGAGTCTTGATTGTGTTATTGCATAAGGAAACGCCTTCACAAAACACAGTATTTCCTTTTGGTTGCTACCACATAACTGTCATTAACTTCAATACAGAGTACTTTGAGTGCTGAGCAAGCCTCTACTTCGCTGCTCATCAAGTCCGCAGACTCTCTGGTGCTATGTCTATATGACAAGCACCCATTGAACATTTGTTGTTATTGCCACTGCTAGATGATAAAGCCTGTCAACATAAAGTAACAGTTCCCAGATACTGACATCCTACACCAACATTTTGGAGCCACACAAGAGTAAAACAGTGCAGCCGAATCTCACTTATGAGGTACAGGTCGAGAAAACATTGAGAGCATTCTACACAGGACAAGTAAGTCTCACTTTCTATCTGGTCTCAGAAGAGCTCTCCTGTAATACATACATGCACTTACTAGCCACAGGGCAAGCAAACCAAGTAGTATATCCTACAACTGAAGCTTGTGTATTTTTTGCACAATCAAGAATTTTGTTGGTCTCTCATCTCAAAATTACAGAAACTTTTTTCATATTTGTTCAGCATTAAGCAAGTAGGTAACTCCATTAAACACTAGGGAAGTTAAAAAACAAATGCTTGAACTCGGGCTTAACCATGTGCTAAAGTAAAGTGTCTTGCTATATAAATGTTCCTGCTGCTGAATAATCCCTACAGCGTGCGAGAGGCCTTAAGGTTTTTACAAGTATTATTTATGCAAACACTTTAAAGACAAATGGCTTTTTTATATATAAACCTCTAGGAGCAAAGGGATACTTCAGCTTTCACAGAAACTGGCATGGAGAGTCTCCATTGGTTTAGGAAGAGAGGCACAGAAGCAGCTCTTTTTTTATTGGGGAACGGGGGGCCAGACAGAAGGTAGGGAAAAGAGCTAGTTTCACAACCTATAGCAGCATGTGGATCACCAGCATGAGCTTCTGGGTTTTCAGGATCTCATTTTTCTACCAAGTTCGCATAGCTCTCCACACAGTAGCAGGAGAAACAGATCCTCCCAGAGAGCAACATCACCCTCAAAAATGGAACACAGATACAGAACCCAGGAACCACAGCTACCATTTCTAGGCGGTCAGATTGGACTTGCCCAAAAAAACAGAGATAGCTAGAGCTTCCTCGATCACAACTTCTGCCTCATACCAGAATACCTAGAGTCATTTGCCCATTCTTTCTCCTTCTGTGTCCCAAAAGGACCGGCCACACGCTGCTCTGCTGTGTTGTTTCATACTTCAGCACCTGGCCAGGTGCTCCTTTTACAAGATCTGCCAAACCATCATGGTTTGCCACAATAATGAGAGCACGCCTCACATACTAAATACCTATCACCAGCCAAGTCCACAACACAAAAGCTTTGAGTTGCCCAAAATAGGGCACACCGGTCTTTTACAGAAGCTTCACAAGACCAGAACAACTCAGGGCCTGAGTCACAGAGGTGCGCACAGACTCATTCGCTACCTGGGGTCACCACTAACTCAGAAACGTGGTCAGAAAACATCTAACCTCATTTAGGTGATATGGACTGAGATCAGAGTTGTTCTGCCTCCGTATTGGTGCTGGCTACATGAAGCCTTTTACCATTGGTCTGCAATTATGGAACTGGATGTGATGGGTTGCAAACAATTGTTCTTGATTTAAAGGGTGTAAGTAGTGGTCCTAGACAACTACTGCAACTTTTGGGAAAATACTGAAGTACGGCAGTAAAATACTCTATATTGAGCTGCTTAAAATCCTGTTCACTCCACAACTGCAGCTCACTCTGTAATTCCATCCATCCATGCATTCCTCAAATGCAAAGACACTATAATACGACTCAGTTGAATACATATGCAAACATTTGGAAATATTTGAATTTTTTTTCCTTTTCTTCTTTTTTTAAACTTTTGAGACAGAAGTTTGAAAACAATTATTTTCAGGTATACTGAAATATTGTTCGTTCTTGAAGTCAAACATTTATATAGGTACCTACTTGGTATCTACAAATATAGACCTACTCACATTAAAACAGGCGGTAGCTTTCCAGGCTTACAGACTAAAAGGGCTACAGTTGTCATCTTCTGACCAACTGTTTATAAGGTGATTTTGGTGATAATAAAAAAAAGAAACAATCAACAACCACAAACCACACAGCGAACATTCCTGTCAAGTTGCCCTGTACTACTGTGCCAAACCTGTAATACAGAACAGCAAATGTGCTTTACTTGTAGGAGGTACAAATGCCTCCTCAAACCTTTTGGTTGCTTCTAACACTTCAAGTATTAAGTGGGCAAAAGGCCAGTTAAGTCACTTGGCTCCTCTCAACTCTTTAAGTACAAGAGTTAATGAAACTACATTGAGATTGTTTCTATTGGTACGAACGTTTCTAGAAGTACTTAAATTCAGCTGCTCTAGAAAATAGTACAGCCAACCTTGCTGGGTAGCTTAGTATCATCAACAGAGTGATCCCCCAGTTGTAACTGGGGAGCAGCCATTACCCACAGGGGCCCAAACTTCAGCACACTTGCCGTACACTTGCGCGTTCAATCAGCTGAATCTGTATTATGTGCTAAAGCTCCCGCGCCTCAGCCTTGCATTTCTCCTTGTCATTTTCATTTAGGTTTTTTTTTTTCCTTTATTAAACAAGACAAGAAGGAAGGATTCAAGACAATCACCTGTTGTGAGCAGATGCCAAAAATTGGACAGAAAAAGAACACAGTACAATAAATAACACAAGTAGGGTACACTAGTAGCTTAGTATGAAACCAGAACAACAGAAATACATCATGTATCACAAAGGTTTTTGATCTACTGTTAGGAACACTGAACACCTGCCTTTCTGAAGAGAAAGAGAATCAATATGTTTATCGAAAGCCTGATATTATCATTGTAGGTACTGTGACTGCTAGAATAGTGCTCCCAATTTCACCGTTTGCACCTCAGAAGAGGTACTAAAGGAGAAGAACGTTCAAAACGTACTAACTTGAAGCCTAGAAGGGAGAGCTTGAAAGCAAGTGTTTACATACAAGAAATTCCTCTAAAATAAAACTTCTTGTATGACACACAGCAACACTGCAGCTGAGAGGGGCTAGCACCTACACTTACTGTCATGGTCCCGCAGTGAAAGGACGCTAGAACGAGACAGCTCAGCACAGAAATCAGGATAGTTTAAACTTGCCTAGAAAGACTTAGTAATTTAAACTTTCATAGAAAAACTTACTAGCTGATTATCCTCAGTTTAAGGTGCAACCATTATTTCCCTTCTAAAAAGACTGGACTTTGGGGCTTCAGGTAGGAATCAGTGGGTAAAAGCCTATTGGCGAGCAAGACTTTTTGCACCCTGAGAAAAGGCTAGTTGAGCCCAGCTCTGTGTACGAGCCTGGGGGTTTTAGAACTTTACAATACTCCAAGACAACAAAAAGTTTGGGGTTTGTTTTTCAAAGACCACCTTCAACAGGATGCTAGAGACAACGTCATTTCCAACTGTTTTTCTTTTATATTTATCGGTTTCCTCGCTTTAAACATCTGGCAATCATCACCTAAAAACACACACAGAAGGAAAGATGCAGAGTACCTTCTTATTCTGCTTTAAGAAGTGGTATCCCAGAGAAAGCTTCTTGTAGGCCTCTCCATACTTCTCGTGCCAGTCTTGCACGGACTTAATGGCCGCTTTCCTCAGTTTCTGTGCCACCTCTCTGGGCGGGGGGAGAGGCTGCTCATGGTCTATCCCCATCGTGAGCTCCAAGAACTCTTGGAAGTTGGAAATAATGAGCGTCCGGAATTGATGGGATCTGGTGAACAACTCCTGCACGATCTGGAAAGCCGAGAAGCGCATCTCGGCGTGCTCCTCGTTGAGCCGCGTCATCAGCAGGTGATAGGCATGGCTGATGTGGTCCTCTGAAGACCTGAGAAAGGAGAAATGAACAAATAAAAGGACGGGGAGTTAGTTAAAAGGAGGTTTAGCACGTAAAAACACAACTTTAAAAAAAAAATTATTTTAAATTTTAAACCAGCAGCCTCCGTTCTGGCAGCAAACTGTGCCCGGCGCAAAGAGCAGGCCCCAGGCCGCAGGCCCCAGGCCGGCCCTGGGGGCAGCCTCCGGGGAGGCAGCGAGGCCCGGCTCCGTGCTGGCAGCAAGCTGTGCCCGGCGCAAAGAGCAGGCCCCAGGCCGGCCCGGGGGGCAGCCTCCGGGGAGGCAGCGAGGCCCGGCGCCCCCCCAGCCCGCCCCGGCGGGGCGGCTCAGACGCCGAGCGGGCGGGACAGCCGCCGCGCCGAGCCCCTCAGGCCCGGGGAGCCCTGTCAGGGTACCGGGAACCGGCGCCGGGCCGGGCCGGGCCTCCGCGCCGCCATTGCCCGCCCCGCGGCGGGTGGTACCGTCCTCACACCCCGCCTCCGCTTCCGCGCCGTGATGTCACGTGACGTCACACCAGCCGGAAGCGCGGATAGGGGAAGGCCTTAAAGGGGCCGCGCCTCGATTGGGGCGGGGGGGGCGGTGTTAACCCCTTGTTGTCCGCAGGGGCGCAGGGGCTGAGCCCTCTTGCAGGGCTGCACCCGCCCCGGGAGGCGAGCGGCCTCCACAAAGCCGCCGAGCCCGGCGGGGAACGATGGCCGCCCGCCACGCAGCGCCCCGTTCCTACAAACCTACTTAGGGTATTTCCAAAGAATCGCTCAAAAAGGCAGTTTTGGGGGCAAAGGAGGCTACGGCCTGGCCTGGAGGGGCAGGCGCAGGCCTGTGACGACGGGGGAGGCACCAACGGCCGGGTGCTGAGGCGATGGCGACGGCGACGGCGAGGCGCTGCCCCTCGGAGACCCCCTGGGCGAAGGTGGTGGCGGGCCAGGCGTGGGGAGCGGAGCCCCCCGGCCTTCACGCCTTACGACGGGGCTTCCTCAGAGCTGTGAGGGCAGGCAGACCTTCGGCCTCCCTCTTCTTCGCCCCGCCTGCTGCCCTTTCCCTCCAAGAAGCTAATACTGGGCAGGAGATGAAGCGAGGAAGGCAGGGAGCCAGGCCCTCATTCGTGGCACCCTGTAACCCGTCCTCGCCTCACTTCGGCATCGGAAAGTGAATTTTCTTGAGTAGCTGCAGCTACACAGAGCCTGGAGGGTCTACAGAGTCTTTCACAGTATCTTCTCACGTGGGATCTGTCAACACCAGATTTGAGTTTATCATGGATTTATAGGTTGCAGATGGATAAGGAAGGAGCAAGTAAGCAAGCGCAGTCCAGCCTTCGCTACCCAAAACTACAGTATTTTTTTCTCAGTGCTTTATCACATTTGGCTTCCAGTGGTATAAATGATGGATTTTCTCTTTGGGAAAGGTCCTCCACTTTGCAGCACTTGGAAATTATGTTGGCTTTAGAATATTGTAGGGATGAGAGGATTGTTACTGTGTAGCTGTAGCAAAATGGTACTTTCATATATGTGAGCTATGCCTGGAATGAAACAGAAGGGTGAATACAGCCCAGTTGTCAGGACTTTCAACAGGAGTATTAGAGCATACCTGTGTTTATACGATACCTTCCACTTGAGAACCTCAGAACACTTGACAGACATTAAAGGTAACTCCTCGGCACATGGAGAGAGAAGTTGGTGAAGGATCACAGCAGTGAGAAAAGCTGAGGGACTGAGCATAGCAAGGGAGCGTTACCTGCCTGGGACCCATCCTTACAGCATGGTGCATACTCTGCTGTGGTCGGATAATGTGGTTAACCAAAGTGCTCCTTCGTCTCCTCCCACACACAGGAAAGCATCCAGCACTTCGCTCTGTGTGTGGCTGTGCCCTAAGGGCATGTCCCTGGCACGTGTCCTGCTGCCCTTAGGGTCACCTGTGGTGAGAGAGAGGTTGAAAGATTTGTCCATATTCTGGTCTCCCTTTGCACCGGCATGGTTCAGTTACTGGAGATTGTGAGGCTGCCCTGGATTTGCTCTTGGTGGCACCTGACCTGCTTTTGGGTGCTCAGTTAGAAATGTTCTGCAGGCCCCTATGTCTGAAAGCGCTGATTAACCACTGGGAAAGATCAAGCCCTTGCAGGTGCCTGCTTTGAACATCCTAAAGAAGGGAGACATTTGAAATATCTGTTTGCACCTGAAAATGTTTTTAGATACTTGAATAGTATTTCCATTAATTCACAGTTAAGCCATGCATTGGAAGTAACGTATGTGAATTGGTGTTGCAGCTGTCTCTACTGGGTCCTGTGATAAGGGAAGACATCACTAAACACTTTCTATAAGCAATGAACTTATATGTTCAAACAAATTTACTGCAGCTAATGAATATATACATTTTGCAGGGGTTTTGTTATTTCTGATTCAATAAGTGAAACCAATGGCATCTTACTTTTTAATAATGTTTTTCCTTTCCTCCTGCCTTCCATCGAGTAAAATGGATTTCCATGTGACAGCCATACAGAATGGCACAGCTCATCTTTAAAGCTTAGATCAGTTTACTCTTTCAATATTTCTTATTTTTCTATTTCTCTTCTTAATTTCATTGAAAGTGCTTGAACAACTGCTTTCTATTAGGTTATTGCTTGCAAAATTAGCATTGCTGTACTATCTAGAAACAGTATTTCAAAATGAGCCTCAAGCAACATACTTAACATCTACAAAGGCACCAATTTCATATCCATGCATAATGTTTAAAGAAAACCCTGCAAGGATCCATATGGTTGTGCAAAGAATCAGTTGATGAATGAATGCTGAGTTGTGTTACTCATTCGCGGTAGTCCCTTAGGCAGATCCCAGCGAGAGCGGAAATGTTTAATTCTTTTTTTCTTTTTTTTTAATCAAAGACAATTACATAAAATTGTGTTTGCTCAAGTTGCTGAGTTTCTTTCCCCTTCTCCTTTTTAATGAACATGGTAAATAGCCACCATTCAAATATTTCTGTACTTCCTTCAGCGGGACCAACCTGATAAAAGGCTGAAGAGAGCCAGAACACTGAAGAATTCATTTAGCTGCAAAAGTGACAACCGCTCTGCACCTGCATTGATTTTCCCCTGACACAACTGTTTTGGGCTGTTCAGCGTAGGGGAACGCAAGACACTGTGGAGTGCAGAGGAAGAACTGAACACCACCTGCCACCCCTTCAGAGCCTCAAGGTTGAGTGCTACTCTTAGTTTACACCTGGTTTCAGGAAAGCCCGAGTCTGCTGCTTTATGTCATTGTTGATTCAAGAAGTTGCATCTTACCTCTGTGCTGAGAGATCAGCAAGAGCAACGCAGTTACACTTTGTGCAGTGTTCTCCAAAGTGAGTGACACCTTGCGCTCTTCCAGGAGTACTGTCCTGTCTGCCACCTCTCCAGGCTACCCAACGCTATCCTCATTGGCAAGAGGCATTTTCAGTGGGAATGTTCTCCTACAGGATATCTCCGGGCATGACCAACTGGTCCATCCAGAGATCATCTCCAGCTGGTCCAGTGTCTTTGGCCAAATACAGAAGCAAAGAAAACCCCAGAATTTTGTCCATTGACACCAATTATTTGGGTCTGAGGGTTCTTACATTAAAGTAGAGCCATTTGTTCCATCACAAATGTAAAAGGTCAAACTGATGGCTCTAGGAAGGAGTTTCAGACTTTTGTGTAATACTAAATTTTCTGGTGTAGGCTTTTTATAAAAGAAAAATCTAGGCAAGAGATAGATAGTTCCACCATTTTACTAGATGATCCTTTGCCTGTGGTTGTTTTCCAACTTCACAATAAAAGAGCATGTCAGGCAGAAAGAAACCTCACTGAACTTTTGAGAGAGCTGTATTCAGCTTAATGATATGAAATTAAAAAGGGGGGGGGGGGGGGTTTTTTCCTGCCTTGGGCAGGAACTTGGGCAAAAATGCTTCCCTACAAATAATTTGGAGTTAAAATAACTTTGGTTTCAGGCCTGAAGATGCAGAAACACAATAAACACTGATATTAAATTGTCACAGAGTTTGTGCCAGTTGGGTTGCAAAGAAAATACTGACCTTCCATGTGAGATGAATGGATGCTTAACCACTGGTTTGATTTGAGCAAAAGGATGACAGTTATTTGAAAGCTCTGAACTACCTTGTAAGAGGTAAGGACTATATTTAAACAGATGTTCTCAAAGGAGAAATGGTCTATTCATTAAACCATCAATAATGCAAGGCCAAAGATACTTGGCAACCTCCTCTAATTATGTGAAATACTGACTGTGACAACACTTCAGCCTATTGTAACGTTTTATAATTCTGTCATAGGAGGAGATGAAAGAACCTGCTCTGTACGGTCTAGATCACTAATTAAATAACCATTTGTAAGTTGGATGGAGCAGGAATAGCTGTAGGAGAACCATCACAAATCAAGGAGCACCTTCCTACACGTAGCTTATATTCATGTCTAGAATAATTTTTAAAAATGATCCTACAGCATTTCCTGAAACTGCACGCCAGCATTGACACAGTTACTAGTATCAACGAGGGTAAATTGCTTTTTCCTCCGTGGAAAGATCTATGCAGACTGGAATCTAATGAGCCTTTTGCTGTGTTAGACGATATATGTCCACATCACAAGTTAATATTTGTACGTGAGCGCACCCAAAGAAGACCAAGGCACATCCCATCGCACTGCAAGCAGATGTCTTTGGGGCTCTGGGGGACACCAGCCTTTAAGGCAGGACTCAGATCAGGTATTTCAGAAAAGGAGGAGCTTGAGGCTTGTTAACATGTAGAAAAGGAGAGTGCAGAGGAAGAGAAGAACCCCAAGCTTCCAAGAAGAGGAAATCAAGCCCAAATTCTGCTTGAAGACCCTCTGATGCTAAATCATACAGCGACAGAAATGCCACTTTCATGCTTATGCAAATAAGACTGCTTTCAAACATACGATCTTAGCAGAAGAGGCTGGTTTGGGTGTCACATTGACTCATTGATGGTACGTTTTTGAACCTTTCTGCCTCATGCCTGAGCTGTCCCATCCTTGGAAAGCCACAGCCTGTAATAGAACTGTGGTTGCTCAAGCCGGTTTCTCCAAATGAGAGACTGCAGAGAGCTGTGGCTTCAGATACCCAAAGGAATTGCTTTTTTCTTCTTGTCCCAAAGATGTGGAGAAGGAGAGAACTGCTCTGAAGCGGCCAAAAGCTGTAGCTCTGCCTCCAGTTAAAATGGGAGCGATGGAGTCCATTTCTGATGTGAAACTGTTGTCATCGCTATCGGACACGGACAGGCGATGGGTCTGCATGTGTCACACAGCCATTGCACACCATTGCACAACCACCCTCCCCGATCAGTGGTTTTCCATTTCAGATTTCTCTGTCCTGTTCGTGCACCAGGGAGCTTGAACCCGCCGTGCTGTTGCAATCACTCTTTCACAGGAGCAAGTCCTCGGTCATCTGTCAAAATCCAC